TGATCACCACGCTATGAACGCAGAGCCAAGATGTCATTTGAGAAGCTGTTATTAGCCCTGAGCTCAGGGAGAAGGAAATGTGTAGTGTTCGCAATCACGGTGTGGCTTCTGCTTCAGTAAATGATCAAATCTGCTTTAGCTATTTCTTATAGAATGTGCATCGAGACCATTTCTCTCAGCAAGAAAAGTTTCGAGGGTTTTACACGAGCCTAAGCTCCTTGGAATGTGTTGACACTAATCCCATTTCGGTTTAAGCTATTAAACCATCTAATAAATTTTGATTTATCTGTTCCCTGCTAAGACCTTGTTAACATGTGCGAAGCTACTGCATTTCAGGAAAGGTTAGGGGTTATGTGTTTCTTGGAACTCTAGTCTATTCCCTCTGTTGGAGTCTCTTCATGTTAGCGAAGTACACTAGAGATTAAACATATGTAGTTATAGGTTTACTAAAAGCTTCACTGCCTTGTAATTTTTGTGGAAACTGGTCCTGTTTACTTGTTACAGTGATTCTTTTTTTGATGTGACAGTTTTATGTGGTACGTTTGAGGTGATCTGCTCTGAGGAAGCAATTAGCCATCTTTTCCTGCTTTAGAAGTGGGAAGACGCCACTTGTCAACATTTTAATTAATGACTTTGATGGACATTTATGGGTTTGAAATGGTATAGCATGTACAGCATGTCTGCAATGCCTTTTGTCGTAAAGCAATGTTGCAGACTGATAAATACAGGATCGGTGCGCTTTCCCCGGCATAACATTCCTTCATTTTTGCTCCTTCTCTTTTGCTTTGAAGTTTGAGATGAAGGGGAGAACAGCTGGGACGTCTGAAGCCAAAGGAAGAGTGTGGGAGGTGGTGCAAAGTGAAAGTTAAGCATTGTGGGTAAGTGTTTGTGTGTGTGTGTGACAGGTGTCCACTGGGTGTCTCATTGGAAAGGGACAGCAGCTATATTTAGCACCTCTGACAAGTTTCCACCACTCCTGTCAGGCAACAGCATACCCATAATTACAGTGTATGTGTGTGTGTGTTTCTGTTTTACTGCATTTTAATCTGGTATTTAACGTCAGAGGTCCGTAAGAGGCATTGTATTGTATAGGAGTTCTTGATTTTTGTAATTCATCCACCAACGCGTTATTTTGCAATATTTCTTGATTAACATGCAAACCCTGTAATTCAGCTGTCCTGACCTGATTCATTTCAATTTCCATGTACTCTTTGCACATAATTACTAAAACACAGTTTCTCCTCAATAACCTTCATGTGGCTTATTTCCATTCAGCTAGAGGCACATGTTCTGCTCTACTTTACTTCCACCTAGTGGACGACTGCAACATCACACAGGAAGCAGAAATATTTAGAGCAGGGGTCTCCAAACTCGGTCCTGGAGGGCCACTGTCCTGCAGAGTTTAGCTCCAACCCTAGTTAAACACACCTGAACCAGCTAATTAAGCTCTTACTAGGCATACTAGAAGCTTCCAGGCAGGTGTGTTGAGGAAAGTTGGAGTTAAACTCTGCACGACACCGGCCCTCCAGGACCGAGTTTGGAGACCTGGAATTTACAGAATGTTTGTAATAGTAATGCATGTACTTACTATTTCTGCAGTATATACTGTGCACAGTATGGCCATTTTCAGCATGCACACAATACTTAGATTTCCTACTACATCTGCCAAATTGTGCAGAAGCTATAAGGCACGCTTATATTAGTTCACTCTGACAATTAAAATAAGGCTCAAATAAAATATAAATATTAGATGAAAATTAAATAAAATAAAATAAAAAACTAAATGTTGTAATAAAAAATAACTGAAATAAGTTTAAATACTAAAATTATTAAAAAAACAAACAAACTCTAAACTGTAGTGTAGAATAGTGTATCCCACAATGCAATGTGTTTGACTTGACATTCCTTTTTCAGTGTGATTAAATAATTGAACATTTTTAACATCTCTTTTTGACACAATATTTAATCTGATATATAGACATTTATAAAGTATTCACATATAAAATATAAATATTTTATATAAAATTGAATTGAAAAGGCAAAGTACCCATTTTATTTCCAAGATCATAGCGTAACACTCATATAATGCGTCATGTGACAAATATGTAGCATACTATGTTTTGAAACGTTTACCCTACTGTTTTACTTACTGTGCAGTATTTAGTGAGCTAGTACTGCCATCTGAACACAGTCTAGGATCTTTGGTCTATGTCGATTTTGATTCTGTTACAGTCTGGCTTCTTTCTTTTTTCCTGCAAAAAATAAAAAACAAAATTTGATGACGACAATTCAACTGAGAATTACAATTACATAATACTGTTATGAAATATATAAACAAAAAACCCTGAAATTTGAAAATGTGGTTATGTAATAGCCCATTGAGACAATGTTTGAAAGCAACAGAAGTAGCACAGTGTAAATGCAGTGTAAAGTGACTTACTGAACGTCATATGCTGTGCTTCAACATTGTTTGCATAATTACGCCACCAAATGAGGTCTAAAAGCTTTTTCAAAACCTGTGAATGCAAACACTGACATTTCAAAATTTGGTGGCAGTGAAGTGACTGTGATACGTGTATAGAAAGCAGTTAACTGGCTCTTTGAAGGGAGAGGAGCGGTGGGTTTCCCTGTCAACACCATCTTCCCAGTGGCAGATGAGGTCAGACAGGAGGGGGCTGTTCTAAACTGCCAACGGGATGAAATTTAAGACACTCTCCGAAGCCCCCCTATCGGTGACTCCTCCAATCCGACTTCACGTTGTTATTCTCGGTGCCCTCTAAGATTTATGCTGGTCACTTACGACTTTCCTTCGCTTTGCCACATTGTGATAGGTAAGACGTTTATGTGTTAGATTTGCATGGACAAATCAGTGCTGTACTTACACCATAGCTGGATTTGAGATTGATTTGTGTTATCAGCTTCCCATAAAATGGACCATTCACACATTCAATTATAAAGTTGTCTGCCTGGTGTGCAACTTTTCATGACCTTTGGAAGTTAGATGCATGCGTGGACACCTGCAATGTGGACAAATGCAAGGTAGAGCAGTCACGTTATTATATACTTAACTTTAGAAGTAGACAGCATGTTTATTCTCTCATTCCTCAAAATCGGGTTTCATTACAAATTAAATATAGTAATTATCGCTACAAGGTTGTATTATGCACTAAATAAAACAAATGTATGTATAAAAAGATTCAAACGAAAGGTAGAACTTACAACATTGAATCGGGTGCTGGCAAGTATGGGAGTTTCGTGTTTGAATGAATCATATAAGTGAATGAATCAATCTGGTTCGAACGATGCAAGGTAGAGCAGTCACGTTATTATATACTTAACTTTAGAAGTAGACAGCATGTTTATTCTCTCATTCCTCAAAATCGGGTTTCATTACAAATTAAATATAGTAATTATCGCTACAAGGTTGTATTATGCACTAAATAAAACAAATGTATGTATAAAAAGATTCAAACGAAAGGTATAACTTACAACATTGAATCGGGTGCTGGCAAGTATGGGAGTTTCGTGTTTGAATGAATCATATAAGTGAATGAATCAATCTGGTTCGAATTAATCATTAATGTTTCTAGTTCACCAAAGTCGCTTCCTTTTGAAGCACGTGATTTCCTTCACTCCCAGTCCCAGTGATTTGAGAATGAAGCGTCTAGTTTAAAGCTGGATTAGGAATATCATACTAGCCTACTCTTAATATTTAAATAGCCTATACTTATTATTTATAAATAATAAGCATAGTAGTATTCTATTCTCAATTCAACCAAATTGAATGATCTTCTGACCAATTGAACGATTCGTTCTCTTCGCTATGCAAGTCACAATGAGTGCGGATGAATTATGAATATGTAGGCTAAACATGATGGCTATACATAATTAAAAGTTGTAAGAACAATACTGAAACATAAAAAAAATATTATTCTGTTATTGGCGTATTTAATTTGGGAAGACGATTATTATGCTTAAACACGTGTTGTTTCGGTTTTGAACGAATCACTTAAAGGGGTCATATGATGCTGCTAAAAAGAACATTATTTTGTATTATTTGGTGTTATGAAATGTGTTTATGCGGTTGAAAATTAAAAAAACACATGTATTCCCTCAGCGACCAGCACAGATCAGCTCTAGGCATGACGAAGTGGATATAAAAAATGAGAATAAAAGTTACGCCTTCTTTCTTTGCATGAACATTTGGGCAGCGTTATGCAAATCTTCCCACATAGTGAGGTAGATATGTGGGGGCGTGTTAGAACGAGCCGGTTTAGGTAGGCATGGCTAACTCTGAACTTTTATAAAGAATATCTCTTTGGATTTGAGACTTTAGTCTTTGCAACTTTACAGATCTTCTTTATGCACCAAGAGCTTGTAACACTCCAAAGAGAAAGGAAAAATTGAAATCGCATCATATGACCCCTTTAACTGATTCGAATGACTCACCATTACAAACGAAAACACTCGCTTGTCGCCACCTGGCATAACTATGTAATCGACAGAAAGTATCACTAAATGAATTGATGAATACATTGTAAATAAATATTTACAGTGAACAGAGTTAAAAGAAAAGGCTCTAGTCACTGGATAAAAAAATCCCAAACGCTATTTACTGACGTCAGAAGCAAGCATGCGTAGATAAACGCTTTAAAGTAGTGGAGTAGTATCTGTGGAAAAAAAACACCTTAAACTAATTTGTAAACATTAAAACCTTAACATAGGCCTACGTCGATAGTACTTTTATATGCTAAGGTTTTAAAACAGCAGGCTGTGTTAGTTTATTATTTTCAAAAGTACTATATTCTATACATTGATGGAATAGCTCGTCCTCTATCGAATTGCATAGGTTGCCCAAAATCACGAATCCACTCATGAATATTAATTTAAGCATGCTGACGTTGCTTCGTAACCTTCCAACGGCTCTGCAGCGCGTCCCCACGTGACTAATAAATATTCATGAGCTAAGCTTTCTCCGTAGTACTATTGGTGAATTCGTTTCCTATCTAGGAAGTTAAACATTTCGAGTAGCGATTCAACGCGCTTAAGCGTTTACAGTGATTAATATCGTTATCGATAGCGAAGTTTCATATAATGTGATGAATATAAACACAAAAGAAGGGCTAATTTGAGACGGTAGGCTGTTCTTTACGTGACTTTCTATTGCTGATGTGGAGCACAAGCCATCATGATCCGTGTGTAACCCATCATTGTTTTCCGCATCTGTCCTTCTCATCGATAACATTCAGTTTCGATGCACAAACGCGTGACATACATTTATTTGTTAGAGGAACGGTTTTGTGATATTTGAGTTTTGTCAGTGATATCTGTGGGAATGTACGACTTGTTATTGCTATGGCAACGTGTCATCAGTGCTTATGGACCAAACCATGATTATCATCGGTGTGATCAGAGATGGAAGTGAATCAGATCAGACTGTTGATACATTGTATATCATTATATTGATAATAAGTTCTGTTTTAAGTTGCTTGATAGAGCCCACTTCCAAAGTACTGATGCAAAATCTGTGTACTGATTAACATTGTACTGAATACATTAACACTGATGCAGTAACATTTCTGCAGCTTCACTCTTTACAATTGCTTCATGTTCAAAATCACTTACAGATAAATCACTTAAAATGAATGTTGTGAGGAAAAATACACGTTTACACATTTTGCAGCCACATTGAGAGTCTGGGATTGGGGATGTAAAATAATTATGGAATAAACAGTGTTATTTTAGATGATTATTTTCTGAACCAGGTTTTGTTTCTGTTTTTCGTTTTTGTGTTAATCGTAGTTAAAGTTGTGTACAATATAGATACAGTCAAACCAAGATTTATTCAGACACCTTCAACATTTCACACAGTATCACAGTTTATTCGCTATAGTTTAGAAAATGGTAATAAAATATGACAAGAACTCAGAGTTAAACTGTGTCAGAACAAATCATCTTGATAATGTCAGATAACACTTAAAGGGGTCATATGATGTTGCTAAAAAGAAGATATTTTGTGTATTTGGTGTAATGAAATGTGTTTATGCGGTTTAAGGTAAAAAAAACACATTATTTTCCACATACTGTACATTATTGTTTCTCCTCTATGCCCCGCCTTTCTGAAACGCGTCAAGTTTTACAAAGCTCATCGGTCTGAAAAGCGAGGTGTGCTCTGATTGGCCAGCTATCCAGTGTGTTGTGATTGGCTGAATACCTCAAGAGTGTGACGGAAATGTTACGCCCCTCACCATACTGTGATGCCTTGTCCCGGCTGGAGTAACGAGACAAAACCATTAAAACCCATTACAAACGAGGCATTTGTTGCATCCAGTGGGGACATAATTACTGATTATAATGACTTATACTGTCTTTTTACACATTGCATCGCGCCGTGTAAACACAAAACCATGTCTGCATTTGTGATGAGCGTCACACACGGCGGGGTAGAGCACACGGCGGCCTTGAGTGAGCGGAGGCTGGCGGCTAGAGTGAGCAGAGGTGGCGGATTCGATGAAGGAGCGTCCGATTCTTTATGCACCAAGAGCTTGTAACACTCCAAAGAGAAAGGAAAAATTTAAATCGCATCATATGACCCCTTTAAGCAAAACATGGTCAGGTTAAAGCATCTGAATAATTACCAAATTTTTTATCAGTTTTACTGGTAGTCCACTGCTATTCCCACTATCCTCTCTCTCACTCACACACACACACACACAGTGGCTGACTCTTAACTTTTATAAAGAATATCTCTTTGGATTTGAGACTTTAGTCTTTGCAACTTTACAGATCTTCTTTATGCACCAAGAGCTTGTAACACTCCAAAGAGAAAGGAAAAATTTAAATCGCATCATATGACCCCTTTAAGCAAAACATGGTCAGGTTAAAGCATCTGAATAATTACCAAATTTTTTATCAGTTTTACTGGTACTATTCCCCTATTCCCACTATCCTCTCTCTCACTCACACACACACACACACACACACACACACACACACACACACACACACATATATATATATTGTTAGTTTTAGTTTCAGTTTTAGTGAACTATAATAACCTTAGTAATTCAAAAGGAAATTTTTATCTTTAGAAATAAAAATTAAAACAAAGCAAACCTGGTTGTACAAGTACTGATTTTTAACATTTACGATATAAACATTTATTTTATACTATTATATATTTATATATTATTTAAAATTATATTGTAGCCACATATTTCATAATTTTATTCAAAGTTTTTTCTTCACAAAAGTAATGCTACAAAATTATTAGCATTGACATCCTAGAATCAGAATTCAGCATAATGTTCATTATACCACCACATATTTAAGTTTGTTGTTCAGCTTTTCACTCAAATTTTTTTTGCTGACATTATCATTACATTATCATGTTGCAAAAACATTTGTATTAAATTAGAAAAATGCAAAAAAAAAAAAAAGTTTCTTGTCTCGGACTTATGAACCCCAACCTTGTTTTGGCATAAACCTTTTTTTTTTGCCTGTACCTGTGTTGAAGAGCTGTCTTTGACTTTCTGTTGCTCAGAAGGAGCAGACCGGAGACTCCACCATGGCAGGAGACGAAGCTCGGCAGAGGAAAGGAGGTGGCCGCAAGAAGTCCAAAAAGGGGAAAGGGAAGGGGCAGGGTGGTTTGGATCAGACTGGAAGTCTAGATGGGCAGAATGACCTGCTGTTACCCCCTCCCACCATACCACCCAAAAAGCCTGTGGAGGAGAGGACCAAAACAGCCCTAGCTAAGATAGAGGATGAGTCGGCCACTTCTATCTGCCTGCAGGTGCTGTTCCCCTACCTGCTGGCTGGGATGGGGATGGTGATGGCAGGCATGGTGCTGGACAGTGTACAGGTAAGAGACTTTTGAAGAACTTTCTGCAACATTATGTAACGCTTTATAGCCTGACATGACTTTCCAACAGTATGATGCTATAGCAGCTAATGTGCCCACTTTAATTATCCAGCATGTCAAGTGCTGATATTTATGGGCCTCACTTAGAGGAAGCAGAGTGTGAGGGAAATTAATGTGATGATTAAAATTCACTCGGAAGATGAGGAACTGGAAAAACACTCCAATCATGAAGTATTGAAGCAGTAGTTCAACCAAAAATTGTCATTTTAAAGTCATTACAAACCTGTATGTTTTGTGGAACACAAATTGAGATGTTTAACAAAATGACCAGGCTATAAATTATTGGGTTTTGAATAGGTTTTTAGGGTGGTCAAGCTCCAAAAAATGGATAAGATGAACATAATAAACATAAACATAATAGGTGTGATATAAACTCTATTTTTCTTCTTCCCAACCTGATTCTTGCTTGTTTATCTTGAGCTTCTTATTTAGTTTCGAGACATTATGAAAGGTGGTGAACCATGCCCCTTCTTGAAACTGGAAAATTCCAGTCCCTACAAAATGAAATGTGCCAAAACATTTATTGAACGAAAAACACATTTCGTGATAATGACTGATCCTTTCGTCCACCAAGAGATATAAACTCAGATTTCAGAGGAGATTTAAACTTGGAATTCCAAGAAAAAAGTCACAAAAGTCAAGACATAAACCCAGAATTTCTAGAAATAAGTCTGACTTGCAAGATATAAACTGAAAATTTTGAGAACAAAGTCAGATTTGTGAGATGTTGACTCAAAATTACGAGATATAAACCTGAATTGTGAGATGTAAGCTCTAAATTGCGATAAATAAAGTCAGAATTGTGAGATGTTAATTAATAATGTCAAGATATAAACTCAAAATCGTGAGAAATAAAGTCAGAATTGCAAGATGTAAATTTGGAATTGCTAGAAAAAAGTCAGAATTGTGAGATGTTAGTTCTTAATTGCAAGACATAAACTCAGAATTGTGAGAAATAAAGTCAGAATTGTGAGATGTTAGTTTTTAATTGCAAGACATAAACTCAGAATTGTGAGAAATAAAGTCAGAATTGTGAGATGTCAACTTAAAATAGCAAGACATAAACTGAGAGTCAGAATTGTGAGATAAAAAGTCGCAATTACTTTTTTACTTTTTTATTCCGTGGCGGAAACAGGCTTCCATATAAGAGTTAAGTAAATATTGCCCAAAAAGCTATTACTTTAAATATTATATCCGGTCCTAAAATGTGTTGTTATAGAACTGGTTATCATTTAATAGTCTTAAGAGATGCTGTGTCCTAATGGTGTTTAATGAATGAGATTTGCTGCGTCACTGTGCCATGCTCACGTCCAAGCAGGCTTCTTTTTTTTTTTCTTTTTTTAGCTGAATCATGCCCCTCTTTCCAATGTGTCCTCTACGTAGAGTGGTGAGTAATCGAACAACGCTGCTTTTACAACCCCAAGGGTTCTCAATCTGTCTCTTTGTCTCTCGTACACACACTTGTTCCATCTCGATCTATCTTTTCCTCTCTATTCCTTTCTCCCCTCTCGTCCTTCTCTGATAAAAACACTCCTTCACAGCTGATAAGACAGGTTCAGTAATACGTCAGAGGAGACATTAGCAGAGAGCAGGACAAGGGGAACAGACCCAAGACTCTGAGCAGATAAAACGGTTGATGGGAAGTAATAAGGGTTAGACGAGTGACTGCTCGAGGGCCTGATGCACCGGTGAGGAGGGGGTGAAGAGGACTGCCCACAGGAGCAAGTGGAAATAAAGCCTCAACATGCGTTTCTGTCACATTCTGGACCTGTTAGACTATGCCTGATGGCGGAGAGGTGTTTAAATCGACGTTGATACGGACAGGACTGTTTGTCTTGTGAGTCACGACTCCTGTGGCGGAGAGAAGACGCGCTCTGGAGAACGTAGTGCTCGTGTACATGGATGTTCCAGCGACCTGCAAGTGAAAAAAGAGGCAGCTTGGGAAATATTGTTGGAGTCTTCAAGGGACAACCTTTATAACAGCCTGTATAACCTGTATAACAACTCGATACTTCATCTTACCAGGCATAAGACGAGTCTCAAGAAATTTTTAGAAGTGGATTTTGACATTCAGAGAACCAAGTGAGGAGAAGGATGCTCCGCTGAGACTTTTTTAAATGTAAAGGTTCCTATTGGATTTTGGTCGAAAACCCATGTGGCATTGATAGATGAAATATATAGTGAGTGCATCAGCCATCTTTTTGGGACTTTGCTATCGTGGGACAATCTGAAGATACTACACTGCCTCATCGTTTAATCTTAAGAACATCCTGTTTTTCTGAGTCAGCATATTATTTTTCTTCTTCCCAACCTGATTCTTGATTGTTTGTCTTCAGCTTCTTATTTAGTTTCGAGACATTATCAAAGTAGCATTTAGCCATCTAAGAGGGTGTTAAAAGCTTCCAGGAACCCTTGTCAATCTCAGTCGTGGCTCTCATTGTTGGGGAATGGGGTAACAGAGATGGTGGTCACACAGTTAGAGCTGGAGCTCTGTTATCAGGGGAAGAAGCTCAGAGGTTTCACCTGCAAGCTCACCCGGTCGGCTCATGGCTTCCTGCCGGAGAGCTCGTACATCATCGCTGCGCAGGTCCTACTGCCGTTTCTGCTGGGCGGGCTGGGTATGGTGGCGGCCGGTATCATCATGGATATTGTCCAAGTATGAGCGATTTAATCTAGATTTGGTGTATTTCTTGGTTGCGTGTGTTATTGAAGCTGTAAATAATGCTATTTTCCAATCAGTATTGATAACTATTGATGGTACCATGGTTCAGTGATGGGATCAGATGGTAATAGAATGGTACTTTGATCCAACCTTACTTTTTTTTTTTGGATATGTGCATGTAGTTTTATCTACTGTAAATATCATGGGAGCACTACAGTATTTTTGCAAGGGTATGGTACTACCATATTTATATAACATAGTTTGTTCATGTTAATTCAAGAATACCATGGTATACATATCTACAAACATGATATTGCTATTGTACCATGTCCCAAAAATCATGATAATACCATGGTACTGTTGTACTTTATTATTATTATTATTATTTTATTTTACTTTGTTAGGATTAAATGTTGAAGTATTTAGATATTGAAGGTTAGATATTAAAGAAATAAGCCAGGTTAATAAGAGAATCTTAAAATATCTTAATCTAGGTAAAATTACTGTGATGCATGCCTTTGAATGGCTTAATGCTTTAATAACATGATAGCAACAGCAGCATGATAACTAAATACATTTATTTGAACAAATATTGTATTGTATTAATTACATTAATAAAATGTATGAATTTATTTAAAAAATGACAAAAATATTTTTAAAATATAGATACATTTTTAAAATAAAATTATTAATATTTTTTGTAGTTGAAATAAAGCAGTAATAAAATAAAATATTAAATGGAAAAACATGCACTTAAAACATTTCCTTGGGAACTAAAATAAAGTTAAAACTAAATGAATGAATGAATGAATGAATGAATGAATGAATGACAAAAACGTAACAAAATTACTAAAATGTAAACTAAAATTAAAGGGGTCATATGATGCGATTTCAATTTTTCCTTTCTCTTTGGAGTGTTACAAGCTCTTGGTGCATAAAGTCTGTAAGTACGTTTTCATTTAAAGGATTTGCCACTGATGATTCAAACGTGAGTTTTGAGCAGTGTATAGTAGCGTTTGTATTTTGTCATTTCTCCGATCACAAATGCAGACATGGTTTTATGTTTACGCGGCGCGATGCAACGCAACGCGTAAAAAGACAGTATAAGTCATTATAATAAGTGATTATGTCCCCACTGGATGCAATAAATGCCTCGTTTGTAATGGGTTTTCATGTATTTTGTTTCATCGCTCCGGTCGGGACATGGCATCAACAGTATGTGAGGGGCGTAACATTTCCGTCACAGGCTTGAGGAATTCGGCCAATCACAACGCACTGGATAGCTGGCCAATCACAGCACACCTCGCTTTTTCAGAACGATGAGCTTTGTAAAAATTGACGCGTTTCAAAAAGGCGGTGCATAGAGGAGAAACAATAATGTACAGTATGTGGAAAATAATGTGTTTTTTTAACTTTAAACCGCATAAACACATTTCATTACACCAAATACACAAAATAATGTTCTTTTTAGCAGCATCATATGACCCCTGAAAATCATAAAAGCTCATTCAAAATATTAATAAATATTGTAATAGTACAGAAATAATACAAAAATAACACTGCTTAGATGGACCATAATTGCACCTTGAACTAAACTGTAGAATAATGTATGTAGATCTAAAGTTATTGCATTCTAACACAAAATATGGATATTTCAGTTAGCATACTCATTTTTTGTATCTACACTATACAATTGTTTCATAGGATATCAGACAATCACACAATCACATGCTAGCTTCCAGTAACGGTTGCATGTGTTCCTGTCCTCTAGATAGACGCAGTTGGCATGGACTGTGTTTTGTGTCTATTAATTGAATTCTCATGGGGGTGGGTGAGATAGACCGAGCGAGAGAATGAAAGCTTGTTTCTAGAAGAGATGTGGGCTAGATCCCAGGACGGGCCTGTGACATGACACCAGCCCCTCAAAACAGCCTGGACTGTGCGTGTGGTAAAAATACCGGCCCCTGGCAGGCTGGCACCGGTCTCTTATCTGTTCATTTAAACATTATGGCTATTTTTAACTGCATGAGTGGGTTTGTGAAGAGAGGAGTGCTCAACTCGTATACTGACACATACTAAATATAAACGCACACTCGCACAGCACAAGAAGCCATTCATATTCAGTGAGTCACTGTGACACTTTTGTCCGTTTGCCCATTATGTGATGATATTTATGACTTTGCTCATGACTAGTCTGTGTGTTGACTGGAAGGATCAGAAAAAAAGCTGAAACTGACACCTAGTTTGAATGAATATGTACTCTTGTGAAGTATCTTTAATTCGATTAAGAGCATCTCAGTTTATGGCCTGTACATCGAGACGTCACTCAGTTTAAAAATATTGACCATGATGGTCACATTAAAAGTGATATATGTGTGAAAGCCAATGCACTATAATGCACTATATCTTCAAATTCTTGAAAAGTTCAGCATGTATTTATGGATCTGGGGGCGGGGTTTCAGTTCCCAGCATGCAACGCGGATCTGTAATGAGAATTATTGTTTTACTGTTTACCGTTGTATTTATTGCACCAGTTTTTAATTTGTTTGTTGTCCCTTTGTTATGTGTTGATTTTAAGTGCAATTCAGATGTGAATTTTCTAGTGTCACCCTCATTGTGGTTTGCACTACGAATTATTGGTGAAAATAGCTTATCAATTTAGTTTAGTTTGAAATTCTTAGGCTATGTTCATAATAAAATACTAGCATACTCCATGGTATATTATAAATGGGTGCCATAAAAAAAGGGAAAAATGCAATTTTAAATTTTAAAATTAATCAGAATAAATGTATTTTCTGTATATAAAATACTCTTTTTTTTTTTTTTGCTTTGTGATATTGAAAATAAATAAATAAAATTCATTTATGTTCCTTCATGTTCCTTCCCCCCAGTGTGTCATCGTTCAAAAAAGACAAAAAAACCTTCCTATTGTAATAAAAATAATCCTGAATGACTTTTTTATTTAATGTTTTTAAAATGTATTTTAAATCTGCATAAATTACATTGTCTTAATACTAAATACTACCTTGATAAGTTTCATATAATATTTTACAACATATTTGAAAGATAGTAATTTTTAGAAAATAGTTTTTCAAAAATGTCAAATTTAAGTCTTTTTTTGGGGGGGGGGCATTGTGTTTGTTTCAAACTCTGTGTTTTTAAAATGCCATGAAAGTCTGTTTTTGTTGTTATAAATCACTTGATTGCGCATTCCTCTTTTCATTTTACTAATAGTGTTTTAACAGTTCCAGGTCAACCCTGATGTAATGGAGAACTTAATGTTTCAGACTGTTTAGAAATATCTCCTCTTTGTGTGTTTTAGCACTGGGATGTGTTTAAAGCGATCACAGAGGTGTTCATCCTGGTACCTGCTCTAGTGGGGCTCAAGGGAAACCTGGAGATGACTCTAGCATCTCGTCTCTCTACTGCTGTATGTAAAAATGCTTATCCAACTGGACAATATATGCATTACTGTATGTATATATTACTTATAATCTATCTTAAGATGTAACTTTTAATGGCCCTGAGATGATCAAGTGTGTCTCATCATGACTAAATGAAAACGCTTCAAGCTGTTATCTGCTTCACTGTGGTTTTGTTTCCCGTCTTCCTCAGGCTAACACCGGACAGATGGACGACCCCAAACAGCAGTGGCTGATGGTGACCTGTAATCTTGCTCTTATTCAGGTGGGTGAAACAGAAACACACAGATATTTTATATGATTGATATTTTACATAATCCACTGCAATTCGACTTTAGTTCCTGTCAGAGATAATTTAGACAATATAAACATGAATTAACCGAACAGACTTTCGGAGACATTTAACTTTAAATAAATATAAAAGAATATGAACAATTCCTCTATGAGACTTCATTCTGCAGGAGTCCTCGGTCTTAATTACCAATGAGTACTCATTATAAAAATACATTTTTTTATCTGTTTAATGGTGACTGAAGGCATATGATCTTAGGCTCTGATGAGCAGCTGTGATTTTAGAGCTCCTCTGCTGTCTTCCTTAGGTTCAGGCCACTGTGGTGGGCTTCCTGGCAGCTCTTGCGGCCGTAGGTCTTGGCGCTTTGTCCAGAGGGGGTGTAGAGCTGGACCAGGCGGCTGTCCTGTGTGCTAGCAGTGTTACCACCGCATTTGTGGCTGCTCTGTCCTTAGGTACACCACTCTTTATTTCTTCAAGATAACATGAAATCAAAATGCACTTTCTTCATAAATACAGAGTTCTGGTACTCTAGATGGCGCTGTCCGATAGGTCTAACTCAATCTGACCTAATGACATCATTATCACATGGCACAGCTGATTGGTTCTCTCCTGTATCGGTTGCCAATGAGCTCGCTGCTCCACATTCAACTATATGACTAGTGCTTGCGTTGCAGTTGCAGCTTGCTTCAGAACCCTCCACCTTCCCCAGCTCCACCTGTATAGATCTGCTACGAGGTGATTCATGTATGCTATATGGGGGTTATTTCATGAATGTTATATTTGCAGCAGCAGTATTTCTTACATGCTCACAGCAGCATGTTGTGGATGCATTGGCAGTAGCAAGTCTCGGTAGCAGACATATTCTGACAAGACCAAATACATTATCATTGTCATGTACATTACCATGCCAATCCCTCCGAGAGTTGTCATGACATAAATATATCTGGTCTTATTGCTAATGATTCACTAATTGATGTCACATTATGAAAAAACATAAATATAATTTTCATGATCTAGAACTGTATGGAAATGTATGTGCTTCTAAAACAGTCTACTTTTCACAATCCACAATACAGAAAAAAATCAAGTTCCAATATTACTTTCTATATACATATTTAAAGTGTATTTTAAGTTTGGGGTCAGTCAAAAATGTTTTTTTTGAAGTAAATGTAAAAATATTTTTTATTCAGCAAGGATGCTTTAAATTCAAAAGTGACGGTAAAGACTTTTACATTGTTACAAAAATGTGTGTTCGTTCTACTCAACAAAGAATCCTGAAGAAATGTGTCACAGTTTCCACAAAAATATTAAGCAGTATGAAATCAACCAATTAGAATGATTTATGGAGGATCATGTGACAGAAGACTGGAGTAATGGCTGCTATTCTTTTTTATTGGACAATTTTAATGGAAATGTGATGGGAATTCATGTTGTTTATATGTACTGGAATAGCTTTGTAGCTTGTACAGGATGTGCAAAGCAACATTGTGTATAAAACATTTCTGAATAAGGCATAAAATATTTTAAAATAACAAACACCACCCAGACTATGATTTCAGTGTTCCTATTTTTTAATAAAAGCATTTGCATGCCAAAAGGCAGGACCTTTCTGGGGAATGCAACACAATCATTTAGTCTTTTTTTCTTTGAATCTTACATTTCTTTGAATATTACAGTCTAACATTACCCTGTCAGTTACAGACTCTGCTGCTTTCTTCCGTGTCCAGGTCTGGTGATGATTGGTGTGATCATTGGCTCCAGGAAAGTGGGCATCAACCCTGATAATGTGGCCACACCGATAGCAGCCAGTCTGGGAGATCTCATCACTCTTTCTCTGTTGGCTGGAGTCAGCAGCACACTGTTCCAGTACAGAGGTGTGGGACCATTTAGTTATTCATGTATTAATAAATAATAACTGCTAGTTTAAAACCTGTACATTACATATTGTTACAAAACAGGCTGATATTTATTAACAGCCTTAATTATATTGACAATCATTAAATTGAAGCAGTGTTTAAAAACACTGCAATTTAAAAATAAATCCATAACTTAATCACTTACTTTTATATATATATATATATATATATATATATATATAATGATTATTAAATTATTATATATAATAAAGTATTATTATTTTTATTTATATTAAATTAAATTTATATATATTAAAATGTCTTAACTATAAAAAATTAAGTAAATTACAATTAAATCAATCAAAAATAAAGTACTGTTATTTTTTGTATTAAATGACATTTGTATTAAATAAATAAAATATATATTAAAATATCTTAACTATAAAAAATTAAGTAAATTACAATTAACATTTTCAAACACTTTTTCTTTTTGAGCCTCTAAATGTTCCTTATTAAATGAGTGTAAACTGTTAAACATGTACCAGAAGAGGGCAGTAAAAATTCACCAAAATAGTACTTTATTACAAAGATGTGCATTTTTAGGTCTCATGGTTTCCATGATTAAAGATTACATTAAAGAGTGGGAATCCTTTCCTCTTAGGAAATTCATCTTTCTGTTTTGTTTAGAAACATCACAGACTCCATTCTCTAGAGTCTTTAAAATCTGGATTTACATAAATCATAGCAGATTATCTGAAATATGTAACTATTTATTATGTGTAGCATATATCATCAGGGTAATCTACAATGTTTGTGTGTCCAGATGTGTGGTACTTGTCCCCGTTGGTGTGTGTCTTCTTCCTGCTGCTCATTCCTCTCTGGGTGCTCATCGCTAGACAGAGTCCACAGATTAAAGAGGTTCTGAAGTCGGGCTGGCAGCCTGTTATAGTGGCCATGTCCATCAGCAGGTACAAACGTGCATACAGAGACACAGTCTTCTATTAATGTGTCAGATTAACATGACAATCGTTATGTATTCATTAATAACTAATTAATTGTGCCTGTAATAAAGGATTAAATAGAGGTAAATATTAGGGATTTTTTTTCTTTTTTAGATCTGGAAAAGTAATGGAAATTATATATATTTTAAAATCAATCAGTTGATATAAATCTTTATGGAAGATGACTCCAAAATTACTTATTAGCTAGATTGCTCTGTTTAGAGTGTACTCTCAATCATAAAAAAAAAAAACTGAACAACTAATAAAAAATAGTTGCCTTAAAGGTATGGGAAACTTAAAAATAATTTTGACATTCAAGTTTTTGTACTTAGAATTCCCTGAAAAAAAAGAACAAAAAAAGACTGTCCAATTTACTCAGTCATTAGTTTTTGTGCGTGTGTGTTTCTCTTCTAAAATACTGATTAATGTATTTCTCTAAAATGTGTAATCTACTAGATTACAATACAATATATAGAACTAATTAATGTTGAAAATGACTATTGCTTTTGACATTACTGGAAACTAGCATATTAGCATGCTAATATGTGCTGCTTCTAGCTATTAGTTTGCTGTGTAGCTAGCTAGTACAACCTCATTAATATAATAACAGATATATTATATTGACTTCAATGAATCCTTTCAGGGAACCATGTAAAATCACTTTAGTGCTACTTAATTGGGTCATTTAAAAATACCCTAATTCCAATGAAGTTACATTAGCAAATTATGTTTTCCGACCAAGACTTTCTGACTTATTAAAAAAAAATTACAAATAAAAAATACCATCAAGATGACTTAATAGGACATTACTCATTCAAGATGTAAACATTCCACTAAAATAACTCCTTTTGTGTTTCATGGAAGAACAGGTTTGGAAACAAAATAACAACAGAAATATCATTTGTGGGTCAACTAATCATGAAACTCTTGCCAATTTAAGTTTCGGAGGCCTTATTCTTGATAAGACTGTGAGCGATCCGAACTTTGAGGGCATGGCGGTCTTCACACCAGTCATAAACGGTGAGTAAATGTCAATCCCAGATGGCACACATACGTATGCAAGATCTGTTATAGATCACTTCATCTGGAAAGCATCTGCTGTGTACAAACATCTGATAGACGTCTTTAAGATGTCAGTTTTACATACACTCTAATTCATAAACATCTTAAAGACATCTTCTAAACGTCTATTTGACATCTGATAGGAAATGTCCTATAGACATATTGCATATAACACTCAGAACATACTCAGAACCATGCTGAATGTACAGTAGGCAATACAGAGTAACAGCAAACCTGAAAAACAAGTTCAGAAACTTAATTTAAGGCCCTTTTCCCACTTCAACTTCTCATTACAGTAAAATTGATCTCATCTCTTTCTGCGTTTGGAACTCAATTCGTGGATTCAGGGAGACAATTGGACTGCGCTGCCAAAATAAAACCATCTCATTCCAAATCATCGCAATAAATCAGAGCACTGGCTTTTCATTGGCGGCATTTTATTGTACATGAAAGAAGTCAAGTATTTTGATGGGAGTTACTAATAGACTTAAAAACCCCAGCTGAGGCAGAGTTTGTTTGGTTTTATGTAAAATATCACTTGTGGTGATTTGTCAACTTTAGAAATCTGGTTTAGATTTCCCCTCGCTGGTTCCGTTCCTACTCAGCTGCACATGTGCTCTACCAACGTCCCGTCCCTCTCGAACGATGACTCAACAATATGTTGGCGGAAACTACACGCATCCCAATGGGAATAGAGCATGTCAGAGTAGTAAAAGCGGCCTAATCCAGTAGTAGCTGTGATTTCTCAGCCAAAAAGTTCTCTGACGTCTTCTCTAGTTGTTTATCTGGATCTGGCACACTATTTTTCCAGCTCAATCCTGAGACAAACTGCCCTTAATGAGGAACACAAGGTGGCTGTGATTCAGGAAGACTTAATTTGATACCTCATTACCTAGTTTGATATTCATATCAAGGAATGCCCTCCTGCTGTAATATTCCCCATAGAGTGTCATTTGCCAGTTTTGCATCGAGCGACAATGTGGAAAAGCTATTAATTGTGAACAAAATACTCTGAAGATATGCCTACAATGTATATTTGACAAATGTCAGTGTACATACAGTACTCCCCTAGCCGCATGCTGCGTTCCAACACACGTTTCATTTGTGACTGAAATGAGGTGAATATGAGAATCGCAATGGTGTAATGATTGGAAAGCTCTCACATTCTTTCCTTTTTGAACTTTTCAGGTGTGGGGGGGAACCTGGTGGCCATCCAGGCCAGTCGGATCTCCACCTACCTTCATTTGTGGAGCGTACCTGGAGTCCTGCCCTATAAGATGAGACAGCACTGGCCCAACCCCTGTGCCACATTCTTCTCCTCAGGTAAGGTCACTGTCAAACTATTTGTGCACCTCAGATGAATTCACTCCTTCAGATTCTTGAGATAAAGTGGGTAATTAATAGTGTTTGCTAAGTCAAGCTTCACTTTTGCTGAACAAAGCATGAACCCTGAAATTTGCACTTCAGCACATTTATCATCTGCACCATTTGTGCTACAAACATGAGTGATATCTGAAACCGTGCTGTATTTTGAGAAGGGGTGTGCTATTCATTTTCTTAAGTGGTTAGGCAATGATTGCACAAAAAAATACTGTAGATTTGCATTGAAGGAGAGGCCTGAAACTAGTAAAGAACCACCTTTGAAAATGAAAAAATTTAATTTTGACCTTTTTAAAATAATTGAAAAATGAACTTACCTTTGGCTCGTGCCATTCCTCCTCAGGTGTGAACTCGAAGTCGGCGCGGGTGCTGTTCCTCTTGGTGGTTCCAGGTCATCTGTTGTTTCTTTTTGCCATTAATATGCTCCAAGGAGGCCACGCTGCCATCACACCAGCATTTATCTGCTGCTACCTGGGTGCTGCTCTGCTTCAGGTGAGCCTCAGGGCCTGTCCACATGAACGAGGTTATTTTTAAAACCGCAGCTTTTTCTACGCGGTTTGGCTGTTCGTCCACACGCAAACGCAGCACCAGGTCACTGAAATGGAACATTTTTGAAAACACCTGCCTGCAAACTCCGGTTGCAGTGTTATCGTGTAGACAGCGAAACCGGAGTTTTTGGCTTGTGACGTCGGAGCCTGCGCTGTTATCTCCGCCTACTGGAAACTTTTTCAGGCTTCTGATTGGCCAATATGGCTTTACGGTTGAGATTATATCGCCACCTGTTGGCTTGGCATGCTCTTTACAGTGCTTCATAGCATGCGTTTGCGTTTTCATGTGGACGGAGATTTTTTTTTTGAACGGAAGAAGGAAAAACTACCCGTGTACGTGTGGACATGGCCTTAGGCCCTGTTCACACAGAGACGCGTTTAGCTGTATACTCATAAATTTTGTATTGTATAGGCGTTTCGTCCACACGGATCTGGCGTTTTGGGAGAGTGAAACGGATATTTTTTTAAACCGGGTCCCAGAGTGGATAAATCTGAAAACGCCACCCTTGCGTTTTCGTGTGGACAGCGAATCCGTATATTTTCTGAAACGATAACGTCATCAGCCCACGTCTCACCCCTAGTCAGACACTGCTACGTTACATAACAGCAACCAAAACATGAACAAACACTGAACGATTGTCTTTTTATTAAATACACCGATTAGTAAATGTATTGTTCCATGTTCGTTTGTATACCGCGCGCAAGGTTTATGCGCATAGTCCAAGTCTCCTTCTCCATTTTTAGTGTATCTCTGTGGCAGAATTACAGCGCCACATACTGGTCTGGCATGTATACTACATCGTTTTGTGTCAGTTTCGTGTGGACGCAGATATTTCTTGAGACGAGGGGGAAAAAAAGACCGGATATGGAAAGCTCTGGCTTTGTGTGGACGTAGCCTTAGTGCTACAAGCGTAAGTGTTCAATGTTTACGCCGCTAGTGCTGACAAACAGAATTCTAAAAAAAATTACAGATTCCCCACAAAAAAAAAATATATATATATTGTCATGACCTGCTTGAATGATGTGGCTAAAATACTATGTATGGGCATTATGAAATAGGGTGTGGTTTCAACTATGACTAATCCTGAATTTTACTTGAAGTCTTTGAAAAGTTTGAATTTTATCTCCAATTCTCATGTAGTGACTATTTTAGACTATATTAACTTATAAAAGGACCCCAACAGGAAGTAAAGATATTGGTTAGGTTTACTACCTTATGTAATGTTTTTGAAAGACATCTCTTATAATTTCCAAGGCTGAATTTATTTGATCAAAAATACAGTAATTTTGTGAAATGTTGTTCAGTTTAACGTAATCGTTTTCTATTTTAATATATTGTAAAAATGTATTCATGTAATGCAAAGCTGAATTTTCAGCATCATTACTCGTCTTCAGTGTCACGTGATCCTTCAGAAATTATTCTAATATGCCAATTTGGTGCTTAAGAACATTTCGTATGATTATCAGTGTTTATCAGTGCTGAAAAAAAAGCATGCTTTGTGGGTTTTTTGATAAATAGAAAGTTCATAAGAACAGCATTTTTTAAATGTATATTTTATATAAAAATTTGTTATTGTATATAAAAAAATATTTATAATTTAAATAAATTTCCTTACTGTCCCTTTTAATAATTTTAATGCCTCCTTGCTGAACTAAAGTATTTTTGAAATCAATTATTTAACGATTAATATTAATCTTTGTAAAAAAGTATATATATAAAAAAAAAGGTCTGTAATAAGTTGTCACAATATGGGCATTTCATTTTAAGAAATGTAATGTTTAATCTTGTTTTTCCTCACAGGTCGGGATCCTCATTTATACAGCAGACCTGATTGTGCGTTTGATGTGGAGAAAAGGTTTGGACCCAGATAACTTCTCCATCCCGTACCTGACTGCACTGGGAGACCTGTTGGGTACGGGTTTCCTGGCCCTGTGCTTCCGTCTGGTCATGCTAATGGAGGGGCTCGGCTTGTAAAATGCTAGACCTCCTCCTCCCACCTCCAGATCCCAGTTCATGGGACCTTTGCCACCTAGGCTGGCTGCAATGCTTTGGAGATGCGAACTTGTCTGTGGGAAGCTAAAGACAGAATATGAGCCACATTGTTTCTGTGCTTACAGGACATGTTGACTGGAAATATGAAATACATCGGCAGGTATGGACTTAGTAGCTGACAGCCTGTAATATGATTATACTCTTGGTGTGTTGTCCTGTTGCCTCAGTGATGCTGCTTTCATACACACTAGTCACCTGAAAACTGTATAACTTTAGGTGCGCCACAAATTTTTATGTGCCATGTATAAATTGAATTTGACGTTTACAAGATTTAAGACCTTGAAGGATTCTGGGATGTTTGTTTTTGTCAAATATCGTTTTTGAGTGTCTGATTTAGGATCGAAAGTCTCAAAACTTTGAAGGTCATTCCTTTGCTGTTGTAGTAACTACATACAAGATCATAATTGCTGCTAGATATTTTTACTGGATACTATATCTCATATACAGAGGGTGTAACGTACCTCTAAGTTTGTAATTTTTTTGCACCTGAAATATTTTTTCTCAAAATACCACACTTTGGAAAAAGACAAAATCTTCTAATGAATGAATTGATTACAATGATATTGTTCATGTGGCAGTTTTATTCAACACATTTGTAATATATTTACTCTGAATTATAATTAACCTTACTCACATGATTTTTCTACAGTTTAAGTGTTGTGGTCCCTAAAACAGTAAAAAAAAATAAAAAATTACATATTTGTCCAGTAAACAGAGTTTAACTGTCGTACCAGAGGCAGTGTGCCTTTATATTTAAAATATTAACAAAAAATTAAAGCACATGAAGTCATTGTTGGTTGATGTATTCCCCTTTTGTGTACTGGGGAAAAGAACAAATACATTGAAAACAAGTTAATTTACCCTTCAAAGCAAGATTCCATATCGTCTAGTGCACATTGGCATTCACAGTTTTGCAGCACATGTATGCCCACAAGCTTTTCAAACAGGTGCAAACTGTTAGTTACATCACAAATGGCACACACTGTCGCCACTCTCAAAAGCTCAGCTCATACAGTCACATTTCTCATATAAATCAACCCATTCAAACAACATTCATAATTTTACATCAGAATAATGGCATTATGACAGGACAAGCACTGGCACTCCTGTAACTTTCAAATCAAGACATGACGTTCCTCTTCACATGATTATATATATTGCTCGTTGAAATGTATTATAAACCTAGACATATAGATGACTCTCTTTGTCCTTTCAAAATGCTAAAAGATTCCAGCTCAATATTGAAATAGAGCCTAACTATCAAGATAGAAAACATTTTACAACAAAACATTTACAAGAGCAATTTCGGAAGGTTCGATTTGCAGTGTGGCACACGAGGTACCCACTGTGCACCAGGACATGTCTGCCTGTCAACCAGATATTAGTCAGACGACTCATTCTCACCCTTTCTCTAAAGATTTCATCATTTCAACCATTACCATAGGCTTTTTCGCAGACAAGAAGACATACCTAAATTATTAAGGGTCATTTCAACCAAGTGCTAATGAACCAAAAGAACATTTCACATAGTCGTGAAAACTAATAAGACGTTGAACTCTACTGGCAGGGATTGCGTTTCTCTCACTTTAAGAGTTCTAAGGGATAGATAATCCTCTACCGACTCAAACACATACCTCTCTAAAAACCTTTATTGCACTTCAACCCTTATTTCAAATTCATAAGACGAGTGTTTCCTCCCAGGCTCATGCTGATGTTTGACCTGCAATGGCAAGTGAGTAGTTTGCACCTCACCCTGCATCCATAGCTCAACAAGAGCCGCACTGATGAGGGTCTACCTTTCCCCAACCACAGCTATATACTGTTTACACAGCCCGTTGCATGCTAAATGAAAGGGAGACTCTATGAGAACACCATTCCTTTCCAGAGTAGCTAAACCACCCAATGTAGACAGCCTTGTCCAGTTTGCGACTGCAAGAGAAGTCTAAATTCATCCCTTACCTTTGACTCCCTCCAACATATTACCAGCAATCTGCTTGAAACAGTTGACCGTTTGATACCTTTAGACTTGGAAACTACCTTTGTGATTGGGCGTAAGGTTAAGGTCTGAAATCATATCCAGGGAATGTTAAAAAGGAGGCTTTGAGATCAGCTTCAAGGAATCTCTTCGAGATTAACGTCAAAGCTTTGCTGGTTCCAGTTAAAGAGCAAAATCCACAATAAATATGCTACGTAAACAATACCATAAATATCACTTTGTGTGGTGAAGATTAAAGGACATGAAACATTCATAGTATTTGTCTGTTGATGAAGAATCCTGCTTCACTTATCAACATTCAGAAGGACAAAGGCACATACTTGGAGCTCGGTCAAAAGTTACCAAAGCCAAAGGAATTACAGACAGTATTTTGTGAACTTTTGGGATGGGATGGATGCAACACCCCAGCCAGCACTAATCGGTTCACAGTGCTGAATTTCGCCTCAAGGGACCAATGGAGATGCCATATCCAAGGTGCATCCTCTACAGGTTCCCTCAGGCAATTCACTCGAATCCAGAAACGAGCGAAATTTTAGTTAGGGCCCGCAAGACTCACATCCATGTGTGCAAGTTTTAGGATCAGTTGAAAGTCGCTGAACTGTTCATCTCAGCTTCAAGTATGCCGGTACAGAGTAGTTAAAAAGCAAGAAGTCCATTCGGTAAAGGTTGAAGAGTTTCTTCTGGTAAAACGGACTGATTTTGTCGAAGAACTTGGCGGCCATATCACCTGTGGTCCTGGTGCTCTTGGAAGTGGCGGGAAATTTGATCTCTCCTTCGGCACCTGCTAACTTCAGGATGTAGTGTGAATCTTGCACAAGAGTCTCATACTTGCCCACCACGTCATAATGGATCAGGCAAGGGTGGCAAAGTGAGTGAACCCTTTCCCAGTGCTCATTAAACGGTTCCTCTCTCTGAGTCTGGGGGTCTACTAAATAATACACAAATTCCTCGAAGGAGACGTCGTTGCCTTTTTCCAGTGCTTCAGCCTGCGGGTCCGCACGATGCCTCCGGATGATTTTGGTCCCATAGCGTTTATGGAAGGCCGTGTTGTAGCTACGAGTAAACTTGTTGCGATATGCCGAGACAAGTCTCTCGAAGGGTTCGCGCACGAAGACAAACTTCAGATATGTGCGTAGTCGCTGGTTGATCTCGGCTGTGGAGTACTCCGAGAGCGAACGCAGGTTGCCCGCTACGTGAGCCTCGTTTGCTGGAATAGCCAGTGGTTCACGATAGCGCCCATCTCCTGTTAGCACCATCAACACACGTTTCCAGTTTGTACATGCCACTTTGGGGACATAGCAATACAGTAACTTGTGTTTATCATCCACTATGAGGTGGCGGAGGTCCTCCGGGCTGAGTACACGTCTTTTGTGGGTGTGGGTGCGACAGGTTTCCTCCAGGAGCTCCCTTCGACCCTGCAGAGTGGCCTGCACTGCAGACTGCTCCAGCTGGAGGACAGGAAGGAATGGTATAAGAGGAAATGGAATGAAAAAAGTCACCATTTGTGTTCCATGAAAGAAAAACGTCACATGGGTTCAGAACGGAATTTCATTTTTTGGTGAACTATTGCTTTAAAAATATTTTCTTGAAAATATTTTCCGGAAACCGAATTTCCGGATTTCTTAGTGCACTGACCACAGATTCCACTACACGTATTTGCATGACTTTATGTGATATGACAGTTGCTGTTTGAGGGAAGTTCTTGTGAAACCATGAGGCACATAGCTGTTATAGGAGGGTAACGGTTTTGCCTGGGGGATGATCCACAGATGGGTTTGATAATTGCAATATAATAGGATTTGAAGAGCTGGTAGTGTTTCAACAGGAAGGATTTTATCTAGACGTTCCACTGAGACCTTTAAAGGGATAGTTCACCCAAAAATGAAAAGTCTGCCATCATTCACGTCATGTCATTTCAACCCCCTACAACTTACTTCTATCTGTATACCACAAGAGCAGACGTTTAGCAGAACATCCTGGCAGTTTGCTTCCACTACACAAAGAACAGTGTCTGTAAATTTCCAAGGGTATTGTATGGCTTAAAAAATGAATATGGTGCACAAGTCACATTGATTACTCTTAATATACTATGTTTGCCAATTTTGAAATTTGACAGACCCAGCTATCTTTTACTTGTATTATTTGAAAAGAGCAGCCAGGATTTTCTTCTTATCAACAGAAGAAAGTCAGTCATACAAATTTGGAAAAACACGAGCAGACTAAAGCATTTTATTTTGAATTATGTTAAATACTACCCTTTAGTGCAGAATCCACTGGCATAGCTGTGATGCATATAGTTTCATTTTGTCAGATGGTTAGCATGTGTCTTTATGAGATGGTGATTGTGTAAAAATAAGGTGTTGAGGGTGAATGAATTGAGCCCCAATAGGAATGTGAGGTTGTTATTTTAGTAATTCATCTTCCACTGCTGTTAAAATCTGTCCCTTCAACACCAGGGGCCCGAGGAATGCAATCTGTCCTGTTAATCAGAGCTATCCCCAAAAATCGTATAATTCATACTTTGTTCACTTTGTCTTATTTAATTTAATAACTGTTAATCAACAACATTTCAATGATTTCATTTCTGAAATACATACCTGGTCATTTTCTTGTAGTGTCTGCAAAGGACTTCTTCCTGATTTAACTGAGAAACTGTTCCGGCCCGAAATCTGTTCAGAAGCTACAAGCACACAACAAATGCAAAAGATGAGAAATGGCAACAGAAAGATAATGGCTCCAAAAGCAAAACATTTAGACATCCATTAAACATTTAATTACTTTATAATATTGCTATTAAATATGGTCATCGTTGGTTTGAAAAAAAAAAAAAACTCTTAACCCCCAAGCTTTAAACTTTAGTCTATATCTCGCACTGCTATTGAAAAAGAATGATACATCAAATTGGTGATGAGAGCTGTGCTAGTAATCTATGCTAAATATCTTTTTAACAATACAATGAGTGCATTAGCTTATATTAAAGGAACTTATACTGACCAGAATATGACTCGGAGGTGGGGTCTTTTGATGTGGGCTAATAAGAAACTACCCAGAACAACCTAGAAACCACATAGCAACATGCTAAAATCCACTCTGAACGCCTTAGCGACCGCATAGCAATGCCTTGGCAACCACTCACAACATCCCAGCACTGTGACTGCAAGTTTTGCATGTTCAAGCACCACTCAAATTTTCCTCAGAAAGAGCTTCTTTGTGGTTAAGAGACTCGTGAGTCGTGACCTTGTGTGGAGAGAGCAGAGATCAAAGCACTTTGTCTGAATGATCATGTTATTGAGCTATAAAAGATTAGAGCTGTTAATTCTCAGCATATGGGGACCAGCGGGGTTCAGGTTGGTCAGTTACTGCCTTCTCTGACTCCTGCACCTAGCTGATCGGCCCTAAAATTCCTCCTTCACATTTGCATTTTCTATAGGAACAGTCTGTTCTCGCTAACTTCCTCTTGTATTTTTTTTTTTTTTTTTTTTTTTACAGGAACATAGCAATCTATAGAGAATTGCTAGTTAAATGATGACTAGACACAACACAGTATCACCCAAATAAATACTAAATGAGTTTTCCAAACAATCCTAAGCTACTTAGTAGAAAAAAAGCACTAAACAGCTTCCAAAGGTGGGCAACAATGAGGCCTCTTTTTAGTCTTGTTAGTATGCACTATGAGTGAGGTTCCACAAGTCAGCCGAGGCCAGGCGGCGACAACAACGATTGTTTGCTGGAATGCTACACAGGCTTGTGGCCATTCATGTTTGCCTGTGAGGGTTTATAGAGGACGACAACACAAATCAGCAAATGCTCGCTTACTAATCGAATTCTGCTTGGCCTCATGTGGAGAGTTTTTTTTGTTCTGTGCAATGACTTCTGAGTTTTTGTACTCCCGAAATCAAATGATTTATCTTCTCAATTGTCTTAACAGCTGGTGTTCTCGCCCCTATAGTCTAAATATAATTAGACTGTGGTACATGGAAACACATTCAAATGACTCTGAAGATCATGTTTCTCTGTTTCAAACAACAGTGGAAAAATAAGAGCTCATGCCTCGTGGATGCCGTGATGTCAGGAAGCATCATGTGTGTCATGAAAACATCAGAATTAGAAGTGAAACCAGTTTGATGTTGAAATGAGAACATTTCACAAGCTTCTTCACGTAAAATCTACATTAAACCATTTTTGCCATGTGTCTTGACTCACGTTTCCCAGAAAACGCAATTCCAGTAGTACAATGGAAATGATTACGATCTGAGATATACCGCAGAAAAGTATAAAACTCACTTACTGTAACTTCTGTGTTTTGCCTTTTTTATCTCTACTGTCTTAGTATAGCTTACTTACACGAGAGTTCTAGTAACTAAAAAAGAACTGTAGGGGGTACTTGATCCTTTCATTTAGGTTTACTCATGACTTAGTATAGCTACTCACTGACTCCCAGAGTGCATTGCGGTATGAATAAATTATACAGTTGCTTTGTTTTATAGTTGTTGATTTTATTTGACAATTTTATTTGCTGTCTTGTGTCAGTAGCAGCACAACAAAAAGAGCAAATATAATGGCTATTGTTACAAGTAATGAAAATAAATGAAATTGAATTGTTACCATTGATGTGGTTCACGTGCTGAATGTTTAAGTCTGTGTGTGACTTTAGCATGTTACCACACACGAATTTAAGAATTATATAAACCCAAAGAAAAGCATCTCAAGATCTTTATAAAAAAATTAATTTGATAAAGTTTATTAATGAACACACATAATTAATGCACTAATGCTTTAATTAGAAGATAGGTCACTTTCTAAAAGCAACCTATTCTTTTCTTCTTCTGCTGTTGTTATGTTGCACATTAGCAACATATTAGTGCACTGCTGCCTCTCATTGGTTTTTTAATGTCATTGGCTCCTTTGTGGCTACTTGAATATTTTAAGTAAGTGTCACTCAAAACAGTAAGTAAATTGTTTTATTTGCCTTGAAAGTAGCTGTAACTTAATAAAACCTAGTAAGTATAACAACTAAGTAAAGATAACTAACTAAATCTAAGTAAGGTAAACTATTGGATTTTACAGTGTATAGAGTTTATCAGTGTCCTCTTTTGTACCTGGTAGGGTTCAAGTACTTTATGTTTTGTGTACAATATTGCAGCTACACATTGACCATGTTTACATGACCATTAAACTTTGAGGTCATTAAAATGTTATTAAAATTTTTTTTTTTTTTAAAGGGGTCCTATTGTGCTTTTTCACTTTTAAAATTTTTGTCAGTGTGTATGTTCGGGCATAAAAAAGATCTAGAAAGATCAGTCCAAAGGGAGATACAACGAACGGCTCGTTTGGACTACAGCGTTTGTTTTCCGGGCTTTGTGATATCACAAAGCGGCCCATTAGAATATCATTAAAAATAATTCCCGCCTACAGAAATTCGAATGGTTGGGGGGTGGGGAGGGGCGAGGTTGTGGTTAGAACGCTTGGTTGAGTGAGTGCATCAGAGGAGACGACGAAGAAGAAGTGCTGCTGCAGAGTTAGTGCATCAGAGAAAACCAAGAAGAAGAGCTGCTGTGCTGTAGCGTCAAATTTTCGGCATGTCTAGAACAATTCTTACAAGTACAACACGACGTAGCTGGGCGCCGCGGACAGACGCCGCCGGTGTGCCTACACTCATAGAAAATAATGTATTTGAATCTTAAAGATGTGGCGCGACGCGACACTGCGCTTCTCGTCCGGTGTGCGGCCGCCTGAAACGCTGTTTTTTTTCACCTCCGTGCTCAAACGTCTTTGTTTGGGCTTCCGAAAGCGGATGATGTCAGGAAACAGTGGTTGCAATTTATTTTTTAACTCTGTACCTGAGCATTATAACCTCAATTTGCTATTGTGTGCTGCACATTTTACTGAGGACAGCTTGAGGGAGTACAGTGCCGGATTCGCCAAAAGCTTTTTTTGAAAGATGGAGCAAGGGGCGTGGCAGTACTGAAACACCGTCTAAGCTGTTCGCCAATCACAACGCACTGGGACAGCTAACCAATCACAAGACATATTGTTTTTCAGAAGGCGGGCCTTCATCAAAGCCGGAACTAATCGAGCCGTTTGTGCCAGAATGGGGAGAAATGTATTAAAATAATGTTAATTATGTGAAAAATAATGCGTTTTTCGAACCACCAAGTTCTAGTACACCCCCAAAACAAAATCAAGAATTTGTAAAAGAGCATAATAGGACCCCTTTAAAGTCTCTTACGATCACCAATGCTGTATTTATTTGATCAAAAATACAGTAGTAACAGTAATATTGCAATTTTTCTTTTTTTGCAATTTAAAGTAAAAAAAACTTTTTTTTAAATTTGAACTGTTTTGCATTTTACATATATTTTTGAATTTATTCCTGACAAAACGGACTTTTCAGCAGCCATTATTCCAGTCTTCAGTGTCACATGATCCATCAGAAATCATTATAATATGCTGAGTTGGAGCTCAATACACATTACTTATTATTATCAATGTTGAAAACAGTTGTGCTGCTTAACATTTTTGTGAAAGTAGAATGTAGACCATAACATTTCTTTTAATGCTTGTCAAACCTTGAATATTCAATTATGGTGGATACTCTGTATAAGCACCCCATAATTCTGGGAGCTGCAAAATAGAGGCAGTAATAAAATGTTAAGCTATGAAAGACACATTTTTTAAACAAGAACGAACTTGACTGAGAATTACTGATTTGATCAAATTAGTGTGCAAAATTACTAAAATGCTTAGCCTGAAATTGTAATGAATACCTACTGAGACCTGTTTCTGTAAAAAGGAGTCTTACTTATCATAAAGCGTTCTTAGGGCAGAAGGCAATAGTTCTCTAACTAAAGCAATCATTTTCCTTTCTGCCCCAAGCACACTAGAGGAAGTAGAACTCCAATGGGTGCCTTAATATGCCATAAAGCAAAATACATTACCGAGTGAGGAATGTGCTTAATCAGAGATTTGGATAGAGTTACGTCCACTCATAGTTGCCCAGCACGTCCAACTGTACAGTATTCCATTCATAGCATGAGCTTTACTCTCATAACTATAGATGAAATTGAGAAGAGAGAAAGAGATGCATATGATATGAAAAGGTGATGAAAGACTGTGCTTCTCTCTTTCTCCTCAGAGCCTCAATGTGAGGGTGTCACTCTATCCCTGACTAACATAGAGCCGTGACTGTTCATCCCAAATCCTAAAATTCCATTTTAGGCTGGAAATTTCCCCTTATTTATTAAAAGGACATAGCCTTTTTTCTCTTTCCCAGGCCCGAAGCGTGAACAAATTATGAAAACAAAAGAGAAGATACAACAACCTTGCGACCCTCAAGCTGTTCAACATCAAGAAACTGTCTTCTATCCAAACGAGTGCCAGTGTTTGGCAATCAAACAATCTGTTCATGTCACTTGCGTGATTCGTTTATTCTATCCAAATCTCTGACGGCTTAAAATCCGTCTCCAGTCTCAGCTGTCTGAAAGGAAGAGCGAAGTATCAGGAGGGTTGGCGGGATGCTGACCAATGCCCCGGCAGCATGTTAAATCAAAAGCATCTTGTGCGCAGTTCCTCATAAAATATAAAACAGGTCTATTGGGAAACTTGGCCCTGTAGAGCAGAACGACTCCCAGAATTGTCATTTTATGGGTAATGCAATGCTTAGACAAACCAGCAAGGGCT